TATATATATATATATATATATACACATACACACTCTGTGAGAATGTGCACACTGCCATTTTCCTTGCTGCTGGTACGACTGGATTCTCCACTAAGGCACAAAGTATTTGTATTGTTGTATTTGACTAGAGCTGGAAGGCGCCACGTCAAACTGGGACATGGATTAAACATCTTTAACAATTTCAGCAGAGGGAATTAAAAGGTGCCCTTAAGTTTTCAGACTATTAGTTCTGCTGAGTGTGGACTTAAGAAAACACAATGGACCAACACCAGCAGATAACTTGGCTCAGAAATCTTCCAGGCTAATTCTAAATTAACCTGAGGGAAAGAGAGTTCTGAGCCTTTTAACCCTTTTAACCATATGAAACGTTAACCTGACTGTTATCTGATGAGGGAACTTTGGACCAGTAAGCACTGCCAGTTCATCCTCTTCAGGCATGCCTCTGCTCTTAGATAGATCAGCAGCTCTGACTCCAGCTACAGGCCCTTTGAAACGAGCTTTGCTTCACAATCATCTCAAGGTTATTGCTGCTTGTTTGTGCATAATTATAAACAGCTGTGTTTCCATTACTAAAATTTCCTTTGATATGTTTAGATGCAGCTCCCTGATCAGCAAACTTTCTTAGCAGTAAGCTTTAAGTCCATGACTTTACATTTTGAATTGACACAATTTAGGTAAACAGTGATATTCAAATTTACTGAGATGCATTTTTGATGATTTTGAATTAATTAACTTAATTAAATACAATATCAGATCCATCTGGTGAGGTACAAGGTGGGTTTGCGGCTTTGGTTTAAAGAGAGACCATCCAATATCTGGTGGGATTCCATTTCTGTGTTTAGCTGATGTGTTTATTCATATTTTACCCGAGGCTAGTCTGGCTCTTCTCATAGTCGGGGAGTCCTGAGTACGAGCAGGCACAGTCAAGTGGTTGGCCATCTCTTTTATCTGCAAAGGCAAAGAAAATAATCTGATTTATAAAGTCCTAAACATCTGCATCAGTGTAACATTAAGCTTATATAATACGAACATATTAGACAAATCTATTCATCTGATTCGTCCCGCTTCCAGGAAGAATTAAATCTCTCAGAGTTCAGTGCCTGACCAACAAGCAATCAAAATCTTTATAAAGCAGAATTGAAGTGTCGTTTTATGCTACTGGAGCCTCCAGAAATCCTGAGTCTTCAGCGACTTCTGCTGCATTTAATTTATCCTAAGAAGGATTGCATTTCTTTTCACAATTCCAAGCTAATGAAACAGAAGAAAATGAACGATCATCGTTGGAGAATAAATTAGTTCCTCTTGGAGCCAGAAAAGAAAAAGAAAAAAAATTGTTAACTCAAGGCTGACTAATTAACACATTAATCCTGTTTTTTTTTTCTTTTTCAGCTTCTGGTTTGAAGCCTGAATTTTGTGGTGATGCTCTCAAACTGACTTTTTGCTTCATGACTGTGTGCATTGCTTTGCCTTTTTACACAGTTTGCACATTTTACTCTTTGTTTATCAAACAGGAGACACTATAATTTATGAGATGATGTGTCGCATACCTTCCTGTCCAGCTCAATCCTCATTTGCTTTTTTAGGATCAGGTCTTTAATTCCCTCCTCCTCAGGATCACCCACCAGAGTATGTCTGTTGTAGGAGTGCAACTGAGAAACAGAAGCATAAAAACATCAATATTGCATGTTTAGAGGACATTTGGCAACAAATGACTAACAGATAAGGAAGCGATTAAAAAAAGCAGCACTCTACATAAAAACAAAAGCCTGTGTGATGAGGATTTTTACCCTCTGCCGTGTCCTCTGAAGGTTGGTCCTGAGGATTTTCCTGATTTCTTCCTCTCGGCCTTTGGACAGCTGTGGTAGAGCTCTCTCTTTGGGCTTCAGCGGAGCAGCCTGGTTCTTGGGTTGAATGTTCCTAATAGGAAAAACATTGAGAGATGTTGGATTGTTGGCTGGTGTAAAAAGAAGAGAGCATGCACACACTGCAAGTTATCTTGTTTGTTTTCAATAAAAAGGTCACTGAGCTGAGATGGTCGGTTATAGACATGAAGAAACCTACCTCATCATGAAACATGAATGATACCTGAGTAATACCACTGAGCAGTGCTGCGCTTATCAACAAAAATACTAATGCAAAAGCTAATTTTATACAAATCTACTAATGCATCAATCTTAGTTGATTTTCTGTTTTAAATGCAGTTTATGCAGTAAGTGGAAGATTTAGTGTGAAAAATGATCAATTTAAATCATGAGAATAATTACTCTGCAAACAAGACAGAAATGCACTTCACTGAACCACGACGGAGAAACTCAGTAAAACAGATAAAATCTCTCAACACTGCTCAGTAAATTGGATTTTATGTAATTTTGTTTCATTTGAAACTTTAGATCTTTTTCTTTGCCATTTAAGTTTCAACAAAATCTACAAAAAACTGTTTTCTTCTCTAAATTCAAATCACAGCTATCATCTGCTAGTGATTCTGAAGAATTTGCATCTTTATTTAAATCAATAGAGAGTAGCACTCACTGCATGGACACAGTAGACGGCATGGCAGAAGCCAGCTTGGATCCTCCTCCACTCTCCACCATCTGAATAGCCTGCTTCATCTCCATCTTGTGGTAGAAGGCGATGAGCTGGGGCTCCTTGGAGCGCTCGCCTACAATCAGGAACCCCTTCACGTATTTCTTGTTAAAGCGGTTCAACCTGAGAACAGAGCAACAGTGACAAATAAACTACAACATACAACATTTTATTTTTTTTTTGTTTATAGGGCTTGGGCGTCATGACGTAATTACTTTGCGTGGCCGCCATGTTGATGGCCTCTTTTACCGCGGCTCAGACTACTGCCTATGACTACCGCGTACTGTACTCCTTCTCAGCCGTGTTTTAATTTGATTAATTTCACCTTAACTTGATTTCAACCTTGGTAAACCGTTGCTGTATTGTGGGCTGTAACAGCGCAACACATGATCACCATGGGAAAAATATAGAAAATGGGTTAACTTTCCACCGCTTTTCTGCCTGGAGGCGCAACCACGGAGACCAAGTGTCAGAGATAAAGAGTCGTCGGCTAGTTTGGATCGCGACTGTAAGACGAGCGAACATAACTTTCCACAGTATTCCAATGTCATTGAGAGTGTGTTCCCTGCATTTTCATTCTGGTAAGTTAAAGATGCGCGGTTTTATTTTATTGTCTACATTGTTTCTTTTCTTCAAAGTTGGGATCTTTTACGGGAAAATAATAAAAACGGCAGCGGGAAAAGGCTCAAATACGTGAGAAACCCGGAGGGTTTGGGGAGGGTTGGCAGTTACATTACTAACTACACCTTTGAAAAACATAGCAGCTAGTTAAAAGTACATTACATGCATGAGTGGTTGTTAGCAATCACTTATCTAGCAGGTTCCAGAGCCCGTCTGAGCACAGCTTACCTTTGTACGGATTACTGTGTTCCCACTGTTTACTGGCTTTATGATCTGCAGCTCCTGAACCCATCCATTCATGAACTGCATATGAGACTCCAAGGACTTGTAGCTTGGGAACTGTTTTGAAGTATAGGCACTCACTCATCGGTGCTCCGCTCATTGTTTGGAACTTCATATGGATCCAAATGATTAATAATGCTGATTTTGTCAACATACCAGTCTCTGGCTTCTCTATTTAATGTGTCCCGGTAAATTCCAGATCCTTTTCGGGATTTTAACAACTTTTTTCTCTCTACTTCTACATCTCTTCTTTCAACAACAACGTTGTATCAGAGCTATGTTTACGTTCGCGTAGCCCTCAATATGGCCGCCAAGTCCCACAATGCAACGCGGATCCCAAGCCCTATTTCTAGCTTATTCTTGTGAAAGAATTCCATTTGTTTACATTTGTAAAAATACTAAAATCCCCAGCAAATTCATAAGGGTTAAAATGCACACAAATGTAGACGTTTTGAACTGGCAGCTCGTTTTTTAGCGCAATGCCTAAACCCATTTATTCATCTCCTGCTCTTCCTCCTTGGGATCTAAAGTAAAACCAGAGACCGACTCGTGGCTCAGAGGGAGGAGTCAATGAAAAGTACTGGGGCTCTTGGACCATTTAATTAAAGCATAAAGATTCTAACTAAATTAGGGATGGGAATTTTTCAATAAAAATAATCACAGTGTTAGTGACTTTGTTTAGTTTGTAGGAACTAAAGCATCAAGACATCATACAGCTCAGTCTCAGTTGATATACATACTTGTCCTTCCAGTGATGATGTCCATAGTGCCCACAGATATCCTCAATCCCAGTCAGCAGGTGGTCAAGGAACTGCAGATTGGAATCAGAGATGTTAGAAATAGGATACCCGCCCTTCTTCAGTAAGGCCCTGTCTGTACTGTCAAAGTCCAATTAGTCATTATTAACAACAAGGTTATGTTTACAACAGATGTGGAGAGTGAAGGAGAATTAAACAGGTTAGAAACCAACAACCTTTGTCGTTTATTGCCCTTTTACCACAGAAATAAACAAATCAGAGCAGAAATATGTAGCAGCCTTGTAGAAACATAGAATCACTTAAAGAATCCTGTTATTGGTCAAGGGGTTGACTCTGTATCTCACAACAGGAGGAGTTAAACTGCTTTGTGCAAGTTTGCTGTGGTTTAGTTTGTTCTGGGAATGTGACAGCACAAGATTTCATGGAAGAATCTTTAAATTCATATAATAACACATTTTAATTAAACAAACAAACTGTAACGTTTAAGAAGGATTATATTAAACAGGCTTTAAGAGGTTACACAGTAATACCTGAGGTTGTTTTCATTCATTTTCACATCGATTGTCATAATGGTTCTATAGCTAACAACTCCTGTCAGTTTCTACTTATGTAACCGACTTGTAAAATATTGTGATGATGTTAAATAATCCCTGAGACTTCAGCACAGAGCAATCTTTACTCAGCTGCATCCTGTGGGTTTTGGGTTGCCATCTCTATCAGTACAAACACCATCTCTGGTAACATCAGCTTCAACAACAGCAGATGATGAGCTTTAAAATAGAACAGATGAGAGGATGTGAACAGCTGCTGCAGCGGCCAGATGATTGATTGGAGCAGCAGCAGCATTTCTTTTTAGAGAACCGGAGAAACTAAGAACTGCATTATTATTTAGACAGCAGCTGACCCATAGATCGGCCCCGGCGTTCTGGCTATCATAGTCTGAAGTTTGACGGCTGCTGTTGCTATAGTAACATGTCATTAAGTGGAAGTAATGCTCTTATGCATTGGCAGAGAAAAATATTTATATGACAGCCCCATATGCAGTGGGGGTGAAAAGTCATCTGCCACAGAAGTACTGATCTGCAGAGTTAAAGCAGATCAACATAGCAACATACTTTACTACCAAACTAATTTTCCTACTCTTTCATAATGTTTCCAATGTACATTGTATGAAAAGCACAACTACAAAATAAATAAAACAGCCAGGATAAACAAGCATGAAATACATGTGTAGTGTGAACAGATGCACCAGTAGCTTACATTGTTTTCTGTATATAATAGGTGAGTAAATAAAGAGTTATTAGAAGCCTGGATGGGAGTCTGTTTAATTTCTTTTCCACAGTGTCGGGTCTGTGCTGTTCTCTCCTGCCTCTAAGCACTGCTGTTTTACATTGAAGTACCCATTAAGACTGTCTGCTTCTCCTGCCTGGAGCACTGGTGACTCATCACTAAGCCCTTAGAGTGACACAGTGGGCATGTGTGGGCTGTGGGTGTGCAGACATGTTACAGCCACTGAAGACCACTGTGCTCAGAAGCAACAAGTACACAAAGCTGATGGGCCGACATTATAATTGTTGCAAAAATCTAAAGTGATTTTTAAGGCACATGTATGAAGTACCGCCACCCAGCCACTAGGTGGAGACAAGGTTCAGCATTTGACCTCAGAGCTCTGAGAAAGAGGGTTGATCAACTTGTTATCTTGTAATGAATTCCTCTGTTGACCCACTGTCAGTGGAAACACTTCAGATGTTAGCCACAGAGTTATGGGCCCTTCAGATGAACCGCCTCTTAATGGCTCCTACCTGAGTGTGGATCTCCTCGTTGATGGAGCGCTTAGCCTCTTGTTTCTTCTTCACTGCTAACAGCTCCACCAGGGGCTTAATGGTCATACCCTTAAAGGGGGATGAGAAGAAAGAAGCATTATTCACTTGAAACACCCTGTTAGCTTTTACCAAGAAAGAAATAGGTTGCTACAAATCATGGTTGGACCATTGTGACCTGTAAGCGTCTGTTTAATATATTTATTTTTGAGGGCAATTATTCGTGTCACTAACTCACTTTACTGAAGGAGAGATGCCAATAGAAACCAGTCTGTGACCAAATTATTCTACACTCTACACTTGCTAAAACAACAACAAATGCCCCTTTCCCACAGGAGGTTCCCATCTCTGATGGGAACAAATTAAGTTTGTGAGGCAGTAGAGAGAATGACAAGCCTTGGATTTTACAGGACACTGCAGTGCAGGGCTAAAAAAAACAAAAAAACAAGAGAGATGCCCAAAATATGACGGACCATGAAGGGTTGAAAACTGAAAACTGTGTTTGAAATCATGAGTCTCGTCTTGGCATGCAATGTTACATGTTTAAAGGGTTCCTATTAGAAAGTAAATATTATGACTGTGCTATTTATAAATCATAAACCATGCCTGGGGGTTGAAGGAAAAAAAAAAGGACACATCTGTTTTCGATATGACATGCAGGCAGGATGTGCTGGATCTAATAACCTAATCAGCTGACTAAAAACAAAATCAGTAGTTAAGATGCAAATAAATTTCCCCAAAGACACAAAGCCAAACCACCATGAAACAGCTCATGTAATTTTCCATAAAGAAAAAACAAATCCTCCAGGAGGTGGCGCTTGAGACCATTACTTTGATCATCGGTGAGTCTATAGAAAAATAACAGGTTTGATGGTGGCAGGTGGAAGAAGGACACACTATGTGTGTGGAAGGTATTTAAAGTTAGCGATTCTCTGGATCATTAATTAATTTCAGATAAAGGGCAGATTAGACTTCTGCAACCACACACATCGAATCTCGCTTGGGTCTGGTTGCGAACCAGTTTTGCTGTTATGCTTCTGCACCGTCGGCCTCGAATTTCTAGGGATGAACAGCAGTTTCCTGCCAAAGCACTAAGGGGAGCCTGTTCGAGAACTTGTGAGAACTTCGGCGGAGCCGGCGGGAGTGTTTATCTTCCACAGCAGCAATGGCGCGTCTGCAAGATGTCACGGAGATGGATCTAGAGTTGCTAGACATTGAAGAGGAACAGGTTTTGTAAATGGAGTTGGCAAAAAGACCGATTAACCTTTCGTCGTAGATGTCCAGTGTAGTTGTTCCTAGGTTTTTAAAAATGACGAGCCCCGGCACCGAATCGAGAAGGACGACCACACAGACAGCCCGACAGGCATACCAAGGACCAATCACAGGAACTTTTTGTCTGCACACTTCCGCTTGAGGTCTGCGCAGGTTAGCGACCGTCCGACGTGTAGTCAGGATTTTTTGAGACAGATTTGACGGTTGCACAGGCTATGCGTCAGAAGCATAAATTGGCCTTAAAGCTGGATTAATCATAAAGCCTTTTATTTCTACAAAGGAAAGTCTTCCACCCATGCAGATCCACTGTTCAAGCACAGTGCCATCAAATAAAGCTTGGCGGGACAAATCACCTGATGAGAAAACCTACAGCAGCACAGTTAGTCTTTCATCCATGCCGCATTCAAAGACTCTGGCAGTCTTTTGAAAATTTCCCATATAGAAGTCTAGTTGTAACAGAGAATGCCCACAGGGATTACAGTTTAAAGTTAATAACTACACTAAACAAGAAGGGTGTGTTGTTGTTCTAGTAAATTGGGTGTTCCAGCCTTCCTCAGAAACATCCAACAACAGTGTCCTTGAGTTCTGTACTAGTGCACCCATTGTACATATAAAGCAATAACCATTAGTGCCTCTGCTTGTTTATATCGAACCAACACAATATCAAATGCAATATTTAGACCCTGCCTTTCTGACAAAAAAGAATTACTGTTTAAATGAATTTAACAGAACTAAAAAGTCATATGTTTGTGTCGACAGTCGTAGTTAACAAGGGAATAATTAGCAATTCCCTCTGCTTTCTTTAAGTGTAACTAGACAGACAATTAGGGTTGACTACATTCCTAGAACTAACAAACCATATCAACCCTGATACAAGATGTTGCTACTGCTAGTAGAAAAAAAACACGTTTTTCACAGAGATTTGCCTTTTTCTCTTTCACAGCCTGATATCCCCTCTAGTCCTAGTATGAAGAGTGAAATGAGTGCTATGCTGATGTGAGACATGTTCAAGAGCAAAACCAGGACTCCCGTCCAAACTGCCTTGGATTAATACGGAGGGAAGGATGTGTCTGTGTATCCTCGCTCCTGTCTGCAGCTAAAGCCTGGAGCAGATCATTCTGTTACTGAAAGAGATCAAGTCCGCTGTCTGTCTCACTATAATGGCACAAAGCTGAAGAGAGCATATTGCAGCTTTCTTATTAAGAACCGTCAACTGCAACACAAGCAGACAAATAAAGTGTTTCTATTATTTTGATAATTATAGAAATCAGCGAAAAAACACAGGAAAGGAACACCGTCTACAGTATGTAATTAAGACTGATGGCAGATTCAGCAACAAAAACGGTCTAACCTAAACATAGCTTCTAAGCAAGTTGCCATGAAAAATAAAAAAAACATTAACAGAGGTTTCTAAACAAAATTAAGATCTAAACTTTGACCACCTGATCACCTGTAAACGAGGCCTCAGAGTTTAAGACATGTGTTTTATAGCAGGAATCAAATGGTTGCAACAGCTCTGAGCATCACCAGGTACAAATATGACGGTCACAGGCGCAAGTTAAAATTCAAAGTAGATGAAAATATGGAAATGCATTACACCAAAACCAATATGTCTGCTGTTCCCCAACACAGGGGATTGCAGGCAAGCCATTATCAGGCTACTAGTGCAAATTAGTAGAAGTTTGATTGAGTTGATGAAATAATTATCTCTACCTGAACAAAGACAGTGAAGAAAACCACTGTGATGATGGCAGTCAGGAAGATGTTTCTCATCTTAAAATGATGTTCGTCCAACAGGAAGCCCAGGGAAAAGGCGATGGCACCTCGCAGCCCACCATAGGCTATAATGAACTGATCCTTGGTGGTCAGTTTGACGATGCGGAACTTGTTGATTACAAACGTAAGACCCACCACACCTGAAAGAAAGAAGGCATGTCAATATAAAATTGTTTTAATTTTGAATATGTGAGCTTTAGATTCCATAAAGGACTACAGCGCAGACTTTTTAAAAGTACCGTAATTGAACCTTGTAAAATTACTTTAGTACTTTAGAGTTATTTTGATCCTATGTTCTTTGTGTAATGGATGTGGAGAACTGTTAATAATGCTTAAGGTATAGTTAGTATAATTTAATTATTTCCTTGTAGTTTGCGTAAAAGGATGTTGGAGCTAATTGAGTCAAGTGTGGTATAAAGAGTGACTCAGGTTCATGCCAGCTGTTATGTTAAGTTTAATTAATAGCGCATATATTCACCTGAGAACTGCTGATGTCTTTGTTACAGACCCTGGTTGTGTGCACTGAAGTGTATATGACAATAAAGTAGTGATTCTAAATCTATTTTTTTATTTTATTGTATTTTAAGTAGGCCTATAGGCTCATAGGTCTTTAGTTCAAAAGTAATTCCAGCGGCCCTGCAAGACATCCCCCTGAGACCTCAGGAGGAAACCTGGTGGAAGTATGTGCATGCAAAGGACACTTTCCTTCAGTAAGGGAAGGGAAAACAGCTGATAGGAGGATGAAAAAAGTTAAATGCATGAAATACTAAAACAAACAAAACATTTTTAGAGGCTGCAAAAGATTCGAAAAAGGGCAGAGGTCAAACTGAGGCAGCAACCACGGAATAGTTTAAAGCACATCAAAGCAAATTAATGTCAGAGAAAGAAAAATATTAACTTTAATACAGATTGTATAACTTATGTCTGACAGACCTGAACAATTTTGCATTTCTAAATTCTGAAAAATTATGCATTACAGGCAATAATTTTCTACTTGAGTAGAAGTAGGAAAATATTGCTGCGAGGCTCATCGTCTATCCACTAACCTTAACTTCTTAACCCAAATGACGTAAATGATGTAACCATGCAGACAAGGCTGTAACTACCATTCAAGATAACAAGGTCATGTCCTCTGTATTTTTTTTTTATTCTATTTTGCTTAAATTGTGAAATTAACTAAAAATAAATTACACTGAAACTGAATTTGGGGCGATGATCTAGGTCTCCCACAAAACTGCGGTTTTATATTTTAAAAGCCAAGATTAACACGAATATCTAAAAAAAAAAAGTTGCTAGGGGGTTTGGGCATTTGTGCTGTTCCTCCTCAACATGCACTATCGCTATGGTAACTGACATACACAGGCTACAGTTGTCGTTAGCGAGTCCGTCAGTAATGGCAGTATCTGGAAGAGGAGCACATTTAGCAACAAACGCAGGTGGAGGGCAGTTTAAGGTGTAGATGACGAAGAAAAAAAAAAAAACCTTTTCATGAGGAAATATTTCTGCCCAGCGAGCCACTCAGACTGCAAGGGAACATCGAACCAAGGTTTATTTAACTCTGTCTGTACAGGTCGTCAGTCAATTTTAAGGAGTTGAATCAACATTCATAATGCAATTGATATGTTACCGACGTCTTGAACTGAAAATAAAACGTTTATTCAGCCTTGATTTCTAAATGTTGGACGTTGAACTGTTTTATATTTTTGCAAAAAGCAGCAAGATGTCAGAGAGCACATCGTGTTGGACAGTAAGTTATGCTCAAAAACAAAATAAAACAACTGGTTAATTTTGAATATGATTATTTTCTGTGGTAACTTGCCCTTACTTCATAACGGTCCATCAAAACACCTCAGAATGCCCCATATTTTTTGACTCCTATATATACATATTCCCTTAAATGTGCATATTTTATCTTGTTTATTTAATATTTATGCTTTAAATTATTTATAGCTATCCTATTTTTACTATGTCATACTTTAACATTGGTCTGCTCTGGAACCTGAAAAACTAATTTCATTTAATTTCATGCTAACGTAATGAAATTACTAATAAAACTTGAAATATGATGCATATTGTTTAATTTCATTTCTATCATTTTAGTATTTTACTGTGACGATTTTCTTCACTAAAGGGAAAACAGGATAGAGAGGAAAAGGCTGAGTCAAACCAAGTTCCTCTTTGGGCCGAGCAACAAGAGGAGCAGCGAGGAGAGAGATAGAGGGTGAGCATGTACTACAAAAGGAAGTTATTGCGCCAGAACTGTATGTGTTTATTGCATGATACTTGAAGTGTTGTGTAAGATTATAAAAGAAATATGTTCAAAAGGTGGCTTTCCAAAACAAGAGTTAACAGATTAGGGACTATTATCAACATAATAGTGTATTGGGGTCCGGGTGTTTATTTTAAATACTGAGGTAAATATGAAGCAACTTATTTCAATTATACTGGAAAGTCTTTTGTGACACATTTCTAACTGCTTAGATAGAAGCTTCAAAAGAAAGATGACATAAATATCAAGTTTAAAAGTTTATAGTGCCTGGAATGTCTGGTAAGGAAAAGAGAACAGAGAAATGCACCGACTAGTCTTAATGATGCGGCTCTGTACTTTTTGGGCCCTTCGTACGGCCCTGCATGCAGACTACGGGATTAGAAAATGTTTTAACTACGGGAAGGTTTGATGTGAGTCCAGTATAAGATCTTGGATCAAAGTAATACTAAACTCATTAAAAGAAAAAACTTATATTCTAATTTTTCTAATAATAAAAATATATTAAGAGTGGGATCAATCACATTATAAGGAAATATAATATCATGAAATAAAAGAATTCCTGTGGGTGTTTTTTTTTTTTTTTTTTAAACACAGTGCCAGCTGTCTAGAAAAAAATTCAAAAGACATGACCTGAGAAGTAAAATCTCTGGTGACTTTTCAGGGAATTAAAACCATCCTAATCATTCAAAGCAATACTATTGAAATAAAAAAAAAACAAACACAACTAAATATTTCTGTTCAGGGAAGACATGACAAATCAAAAAAGAAACTTTGGAGCTGACCTATGACTCGAGAGACCAGACACAGGATGACAGTTGCTGTCACAAACACCCAATTCCATTCATGGGGTCCTTCCACTGTTGCCACACCAAGAAAGATGAAGATCAGCGTCTCGCTGACGCTGCTCCACATTTTCAGGAAGTACTTGATGGTGGTGTGGGACTTGTGAGAAATATTAGCCTCTACGTAGGGTCGCATCACCGCTCCACACGCTATGAGCCTGAGAAGGAGAGAAACAAAAAGGAAGCCTCAAGATAAAATCGTGCATTCCAGTACTTTGGATGGTTTAAATGTTTTCTCCAAATAAGGTCACTGCAGGGCAAGCATTTCAAAAGAAATTTAGAAGGAAGTGATACTTGTCTGCAGAGGGCCAATATTACAAGGCTTGCATGTTAACCCTAAAATGCTGCAGTCTTCCTTGTCTGGTTTACACACTTCTGCATCAGCCCACAGTCATACAAGGAGTGATTGTCAAAAATCTGAAGGCCAAAAGAAACAGCCACATAAATTTCCCATAAGCTGCTGCAGCTGTTAAAAGATTTACTGCAGTTCCTTCTTATGAATATAGGTTTGACTTTCAAGGATTTATATTGATAAAAAAAAACATGAAATCAAGTAGAGTAATGCATTTAATACCTCTTTTATCAACCGTGATATAAAAAAGTCGGATTGGGATTTTCTTATTAGATGGAATAGGAGTGCTCTAAACACACCAAAAAGAAAGAAAAAAAATGAAATCCTTGAAGCTAGATAGACATCTAGCTCCTTCAGTGTGAAGGGACATAATATATCAACACTTTCATCAGAATCTCAAACCAGGTAACAGATCACTGTATGCTGCAGGGAGTAATTAAAAGCCACCTTGAGATGTTTGGTTGCTCATAAAACCAGGCATGGTTTATGTAGCAGTAGATAGGCTAGAACAATTTCAATATTGGTTAAAGGAGCTGCCTGAAACAAGGCAAATAAAGACTGAAACAACATTTAAATATACATTTGTTGTGCATTTTGCAGTTTGGGATTTATATGATGGCTTAACATTCATAACCAAACTTACTAGAAAACGTACGATAATAGAACCAAACGTTTTCAAGTCAATTTGTGAAAAGACACATAAAAAGAATGGAGCAGGCTTTTTAACCAAGTTCCAATGGGACAGATGGCCAGAGCACAGGAGAAACTATAAGAAGAATATACGTAACTTTTATAAGTGTAAAGTTTACCAGGTGAGAAAACATTTTCCTTGACCAATAATTAGGTCTAGCAACATCATTTTTTTTTTGTGTCTGATCTGAAGCGAGGAGAAGATGTTTGATTGTAGATGTGTATATAGCATTAAAAAACAAAATGATTTGGTAACAAATATAACTTCAGACAGAATAACCTTAAAAAAGGTTTGAACAGTTAATATATTACAGTATAGTTTCACCCTCAAAAGTAAAAGAAGACATGAAGCACACCTGCTGAGAGAAATGACGGCGCCAATATCTGTGGGCATCACATGAACATTGAGAAGAAATTGCCACATCTATACTGAGTGCTGCCAGGCTTTTAGCATTTCAAATGACAGTTTACGTCATAATGGGTCATTCATTTCCATGGAGAAATGCAGGCATGTTGGGTATTAGTGCTTCCATGGAAATACAATCAGGTTTTTTTTTTGTCTTTGGTAGGACACAGGTCTAAACTCTAGTGAACTCTCACTACTTTTTTCCAGATTTATTTTCCCTAATCCTGAAAATTGAAGCTCAATACTATGGCAGCTTTGTTATGCAGCAATGCCTAAGATCCGCCTTCCAGATGCACCGTTTTTCAGTGTGCCCCCGACTCTCATCTGAGACTTACGCCATGATGCCTGAAAGGTGGAACATCTCGGCTGCAAGGTAGGCCATGTAGCTGTAGACGAACACAAAAAGAGGCTCGATGACCCGTATGTGGGAGGTGAAGCGAGACGTGAAAGCAGCCAGGAACCCGAAGATTGCTCCAAACAGGACACCACCCAATGCTACAATAAGAAATGAGATGATTCCCAGAAAGCCGTCCAATACGGTCACTGAGCCAACCAACGCAAACTCCTCAAAAAGATGGTAGAGTACCTGTGGGAGAAAAGGGAGGTCAGACAGGGAGAAAGGAAAAGAATGAGTGCATGAAGCCTAAGAAAATGAACTACGAGATGACCATAAACACAGAAAATAAATTAATATATCCTTAGCTGAACTGTTGAGTTTGATAAAGTTGCAAAATAAAAATTTATGTGTTCACAAATTCACAAAAAGCTGACAAAACATCAAATACATGCTTGGATAGACATATTTGCTAGTCAGGTATTCAACTCATGTAGTCATTGTTTGTTTGGAACTAAGAAAAACATAATTCAACATACCTATAGTCAGTTATAGGCCTGAGGGATAAACCCTATATATACCATTACCGACATTCACTATGATAATTAGCAACAATTTTCCAATGTCGGTAAAATAAATTAACTTAATTTTACAGTTTTACCTGCGGCTAACACAGCCGTAAACAAAATGACATCACTTAATCCCTTGAGGCAAAGTGCATGCAGAGATGAAACTGAGTGTGCAGATAAAGTCGAGTGCACCTTTTCAGAGTTAAACGCACGGAAGACAGCAAGGATGTGCTGCCAGTGCCAAATTCTTCTGTATGCTACTCTGCTTTTTAAAAGCTCACTGGTGCTAAACAGGGAGCTCATTTATGACCTGAGGACAATGGGTTTGGTGGAATGAGAGTACCACACGGGAGGGATAAGACTGGATAGTATTTAGCAGTCACAGTAAAAGGTATTCAGTGTGCTGGTTGGTGTAAAAATTACCCACTTATAAGGCTTTTTGATGATGCTGTATGAATATTTACAATTTTCTAGTTAAAAGAGATATGAGTCATAATAACCTAACACCTGATGGCAATTTAAAATGGCAGGCAATGCTTTCTTATGTAGGTAAAAATATATTAAACTGCCAAAAAATAAAGCCTTTGAGCTCCAATGCAAAAATCCAAAACACTTATATTGGGGAATATAAATAACAGGAAAAAAGGACATATATCTGATTGGCATAAATAATGGAGCTCATAGTTGAACCAAAGCATCATCAGCTAATAGAAAATAATTTTAAAGATAAACTCTTGAGGCTTTCTGACTTTATCTATACAAACATTTTAAGGCAAGGCATGGTACCCTGCTGCTGTCCCCTAAACTATGTCTTCTTTTAAAATTCAAAGCATGACCACGTACCACAGTCACGGCATCGTTCAGCAGCGATTCCCCGAACACCAGGATGTGCAACAGTTCATTTATATGAATCTCCTCAAAAACAGCGAGCACAGCAACAGGATCCACAGCTGAGATGATGGAACCAAACAGCAGGCAAGGCAGAAGTCCGATGTTTAGTACCGGGGTTTGTGGGATCAGACATATAGCAAAGAGGAGTCCTCCGACGAAGAACGCATTCCATAAAGTCCCCACAACAGCAAACATGAGGATCGTGCCGAGGTTTTCCATAAAAGGTCGGATGGGCAGGAAGTAGCCAGCATCCAGGATGATAGGGGGCAGCAGGCAATAGAAAAAGAGTTTAGAGTTTAGGACTGGAGGGACTTCTTCTCGAGCTAGCCTGATGAGACCACCAACCAGCAGGCCCACGACTATCAGTAAGCAGCTCTCTGGAACGATGCCTGATAGACGAGGAACCAGATGAAAACCTGACAGGGAAAAGAAAAGAAGAAATGATGTACTCTATCCATTCTCTTGATTAACAGAAATGTCAGAAATAAAAACAGAGGACTCTGAATTCATAAGGTAACAGTAAATGAACACCCAATGTTAATGATAATCGGATAGGACTTCAGCAGAAACAAAGCCGTTTTGTCAGCTATAAATAAGCACTAAAATGCCAGAGTCCATTTTTCTGACACACTATATGTGCAGAGGGGAGCTGACTAACTGTATGTGCCTTCTTCACCTGATCTTTTCCGTACATCTGCTTCTGTCTGACCCCCAGTCAGCCTCGGCAGATGACCGCTCACACTGAGCCTGGTTTTCCTCTCCACTGTCGCTACAAGCATTCTTGGTGTGAGGGATTGCTTTCGAGTCGATGCAATCAGCTAGTTTTCCTTAGATAGAAAACTTTGAACCAATCTGACTGATCTTTTTTAAATTGTCTCTGTAATGTGTCTTGAGATAATGAGTGTTCTGAATTGGCGCTAAATACATGAACTGAATTTAAATTTTTTCTTTAAAACTACCAGGAAGTATAAATTTGTCAATAACATACAAGAAAATAAAAAAAAAAGTCAGGCCTCACTAGATTTAGCTGCTACTAATATTATGGAAACTCTGTATTATTGACTAACAAACGGCAGTTTATGTAAAGTTAACACCTATATTAATGTTCCATGGAAAATAAATACACCAATGTTTCTTCTGAGGGCATGTCAGACATGTCAGAGCTTGCATGTTGTTTTGAATAGTTTCAGTTATTGCCCGAGAGGACATATTCAATGTGCATAAAGCTTTCAACTGTGAGACGGAAAATTTGTGGAAAATATCGTTATGGTATTACACATCATTATACATTCTTAAAGAAGGAAAACAAAGGAAAGAAAAAATGGTCAACAAGAGAAATCTTAAAAACTATAGAGCTATTCCAAGGAAAATAATGAAACACAATCTTTTTTTGCCTTTAAGGTTTCAGCCTTTATTTTTGTCTTTTGGAATAATGGGTTAATGGACACTCCTATAAGTTCCAGCAAAATGAAATATCCTCAGGCATCCCTCTGGATGGTGCGCCAGCTCCTGCATGCCTGCAGAGGGTATCCATGCAAGTTTGAACAAGAAGGATAGTTAGTCTGAACCGACGATAAGAAAAGCTGTTTTATGCATTAAAATTTTATCCTTCATAGCTATATAATGACATTCAAAGCATGGTTGAATTCACATAAAGCTTAACACAACAACTTAAAATATGTTTGCACTGTGTGGTGACATCACTTCTCCAGCTGTCTCACCAGTAATGTACAAAAGGTGACAAGACTTCAAACGAACTGCAGTACGCGGTTCATGTCCGGCTATATTTACTGTAAACTAATCCCACACAGGTTTGTGTCAAGTTGAAGCTGGCCGCTGTAACAAATGTCTCCACGAATCAATGACAATGAGACAAAATAGAAACAGGAATATGTGCACAGATCCATTACAAACAAGATTACACTGGCAAGATTTTTCCGTTGGAATAACTGAATGCTTAATAAAAATTTTTTTACAAGGATTTAACTAGCGTCAATAAAAAAGAACTAATATAACCTGACTTACAGCTTTTATGTTAAACTGGGTTTTGATTAAACTGCACAGTTCGTTGTTTTAAATTAGCATTCAAAGTCTCAACCTACGGTTGACCTGCAACAGCTCCTTTATACATTAGAGCTTTGGCATGTAAATAATTCTCCTGGAGCTCATCGAAACCTAATTCAGATCCAAAAGAAGGGACAGACGAAGAAAAACCCTACTGTGCAAGGTTTTGATAGAACTTTTCTCTGACACAATGTCTTGCAGCTCTAATTATTCATGAAAAATGACCTGCCTTCCAATATGTTATGGCAAAAGCTTCAAAGTTATAAAGAATTGGGCAAAAATGGGGTCTTAACAAAAAGAAGGCTTCCGCTCATCTGATACTCTTGATGAGTTTCTTTGTACCTTTGCTGCATTACCATTTCATGCTGCTTTCTGTGCCTGTAAAATAACATTTTGTATCAAATGGATATTAGAGAAAATGGATTCTCCAATATCAGATTTCTTCTAACAGAATAAGAACTGGTGTTTCAGTACTTGCCTAACAGCTGTGTGATCATGATTATTTTGCAAATCGATTAATCTATCTTTTATTTCTTTGATTAATCGATTAACAATCAGATAGCCACAGGTTTGTTAAAGAAGAATTTTTGCTACATTGAACCAGGTGAAACTAAAACTTTTCCACTTGAGGCGTTCTGGATAAAGCATTGACAGACGAAAACAATTTTAATCTTAAATGGAAAATGTTTAAATATTCTTTTCACAATTCTGGTATAATTACTGCTCTAAGTGGATTTCTGTCAGCTAAAGCCATGTTTTAGAGTCTATACTTCAGTTAACGATTAATCGATTACCAAATTAGTTGACGATTATTTCAATAATCGGTTAATCACGTTTAATCCGATTGTTTCAGCCCTAAATGAAGGTTTTGATCTTTTTTCAGAAATGCTCAACATAGACTGATTTGACTCTGTGATCCTTGTATATAACAAAGAAGCTGTATCAGCTGACACTGGTACTGGGATCAATACTGGTATCTGTGCATCCCTACTGAGGATCTGAATACCCAAATATTATTTAGAGTTATGTTAGTTATGTTATAAAAATGTCATTGGCATTTTACAGTTTCAAAACAACACAACCTTCCGAAACTAATCAGCTTTTAGGCATTTCCCTGATCCAACACACCTGAAACAAGTGGCTGGATTAAGTGCAGTATCAGTACTCACAGTACACCCTATGCCCCTCTATCAAGTCTGCACTTGGTTGGAGTGCAAATAAGGGCTTCAACCTTGCCAGCAGTGGAGAATAAGAATGAGTACTTGCACCTTCGTGTGTAACAGGCACATCGGAAATGTGGGAACTCATCCAGATTTTTGGAAACATTTTACAAGTATTTGAACATGACAGTACATGAGGGGAGTGAAATACTATTTTTTATCACTTTGAGTAAACAAAAGTACAAATCAAACAATTAATATAACTTAACAGGACCTCTTAGGTTAGGAAAGGGAACAAAAATACACAGAATGCTCAAAAATATATGTGGGTGGAATAAGTGTAGTTGGATCAAAAAGCTATAAAGGAAATAAAATACAAAAATATTTTTAAATTAAAAACCTCAGAAATGTCATTTATTTTCATTTCTATTTTATTATAATTTTATTGTATTAAGTTACTCTGAAAATCAAAGAACATTTAAATATAACATTGTTCTTGATTTAGTGAATTGCAGGTTGAGATATGGATTTAAATATTGTGATTTAGTAAATCTAAGGTCATGTTTATTTGGGTTGGATAATTTTTCTAAAAAAATGCATTAAAATCAATAAAAATCTTAGAAATAGCTATTTCCTCACTGTACTAATCCTTAATGAAAGTTTACTTTGTGTTGTTAATTATCACTCTGTTGCTCCATAAAACCTGTGGAGAAGAACTATGGATGAATATAAGTTTAGAGAATAAAATAATGATACATTTCATTTCAAGCATCTTTTGGAAACATTGCAGTATATTGGGTCCGCCACGTGGATCAGGTATGGAGTTTAATTTCTGTCTTTGGAGCTAGCTCTGTGGGCTGATCATTTTCATTTTAATCAAATGGTGTGGCATCCTTTTGTTCCAAACACATTATGTATTCCGTATGAGTATGGTTTCCCAGCATGACATTTTCCCCTGGTTGAGACCTGATGTCATTTCAAAGTGTTCCTTTTTTGAAAACTGTAAATTTCAAGGGAGATAAGTTGCCTTAATTTAGCTCCAAAATAGCAATAAGGCATATCAGGAAGAGAAAAAAACTCTGCCAAAAGAAACTAGTTTGAGGGAAAGAGGACTGCAACTTTGTAGCAGTAGAAGAACCATGCAAGATCTGCATGGAAAGTAAACAAAATGTTAATTATTTTAAAACGAAACTTGACACTGAGGTCCCAAGTGTAACAAATGGTAACACTCTGTAAAACCTCTGGTGCTCCTGACAGCACACCACTTTTTTCTTTTTAGTGAGTCGTTTGTTGTACGGCGGGCTGACAGGAAAAGGAGTACGAGAGAGGGGGAAGAGACATGTGGAAAGGACCACAGATCAGATTCGAACCCGGTTCGGCCACGTCGAGGACTAAGGCCTCCATACATGGGTCATGCACACCAACCATTAGGCCACCGAAGCATGCCCCACAGCACCACCACTCTAACACGTGTAAAAAGTGAAACTAGGTCATGTGCGATCCTTCCTACCAAAAGAAGCCATGTTAGAATCTAGATGGTAGCGTGGGAAACCATGCAGTGGTATTATTAAGAGTACAAACAGTCCCACAATCCCTTGCGTGAAGAATTTAAGTGAGTGCCTTTGAGTCCTAAACCATAAATAGCCATCATGAACTGGTATGTTATGTGGCAGTGAAACAGAGGTACATTGTGACTGATAAGCTCATCAAATCACTAGCAGCATGTCTACAGAGGTAAGAACAGAAGTCACAAATCCACAATAATATTAGCCAAAGTCATGTTGAAAGAATACTTCAGGTATATATTTCTAAAATGTCCTGCTGAGTGAGTTCTGCAAGAAAACCAACTAGAAATGCTAGACATGGAGTACTCTAGGAAAGCAATAGTCACGGCTAGATGGAATAAATGTAATACGGCTCGTGCCTCAAGGAGAGTCTCCTTTCCGTACACGATCAATGAGGGAAATTGGGAACTAAACATATTTCATGGGTGACTGAAAGGGACAAGGCTGTGCATGCAGTTCAGTCAGGAGGAGAAAAAAAAAGACATTTTAGGATGATTACTGAGCCTTCTGTGTAAGGACTCAAGACACTTGGCAAGGCTTGTTGTTTCTTACAACAAAAAAAAACGTGATGACATTTCACACTTTTATCTCACCTGTAAGCCCTAATTTATGACCTTTTTTTAGATT